AGAGTAATATATGTACTAACGTGTGTATCTTATAAATATATAATATTGCTCTTTTGATTTACACATACATCGATATAATAATAAAGTCAAAAAGCCTCATTCTAAAGAAGCACCAGGCTCTTTTGTTGAATTAAGAATTTATTATCATTTTTCAGTGTTATTGTTATTATTATATTCAAAATTTCTCAATATTATGTATATGTCTTTTGAGAAAGTTGTCGATCACGTTTTACATTAAAATCATTAAAGAGATAGAAATATTTACAATGGTGAATATTTTTTTAGTTTATCCAAATAGTATGAAAAGTTCAAGTGCACTGGAATTTAGAACAATGCGTGAGTTTTTATTATTTTGTATTGAGTGTAGAATTATTTAAAGAGACCAACATGACACCACCATGATAAACTTGTCATCTCTATTAACAATTTTGTGTACACACATATATATATACGTAATAATATGATTAAAATAACTATGTTATGTATATATTTTCAATGATTAAAATAAAACTGACAAGGAAACACATACCAAACAGAGAAAGAACAGTTGTTTTAAACGTATTTAAAGTACGTAGCGAACAAACTGATGCATCAGTTTTCACGGTTAATAACGATTAAGTCACGCAGTAATATTTAACATTTAAAATAAGCGTTAAGTCAAACATATGTCAAATACGTTTGAATTTATCTTCTTTCTCTGATTTTTTTAACTGTACGTTCACAATATACGTTTTTTTTTTATACATATTTAGGCATTTTAGGTACAGGTGTATATATCAAAGTTTTAGATTTTAGATACTTTGCAATTGTACTAACACAGACTGGCTTAGTTCGGTTCGAACGTATCTGCGTGATATGGTTCGCTTTCGAATGGTCCTTGAAGTCTCACGCAGCTGAAAGTGCGTTTTGTGTAAGGCCCTAAATATACGTCAAAAACTCATCTCGTTAAAGTTATCCGGCAGTAGGGATAATAAAACCACAATTCTCTTGCGATTCACGCGCCAACGTATTTACATCTAGGATCTGATTGTGGTACGTGAGCTTGAATATTTTATCCTAAATGTTTCATAAATTTGAATAATTTCATTCAATAGTCGTATCTAAATCATGCACAAAATATTAATAAGTTGCATAAATATATATATATATATATACTTATATGTACAATACGCGCGTTACACGCTTTTTGATATTTCGTCCTAAAAATAGCATTTTCGTGCTAAGTAAACGTGTGCATATAAAATCGCTCAGTTTATATACGTCAATCTAATTGGAAGGATTGAATGCAGAAAATGCATAAAAACGTGACGGACAGAAATAGAGAGGCATTACAACCTATTCATTTTATCATGGAACACGTTGCAACACTTTCATAGAATTCGATGCACCAGATAAGTTTAAGACGGAGATGCAGTAAATAAATCCTGTGTGATTTTAGTATGTAAAAAGAGTTTTTCAAATCTAAACGCTTTCTAATACTATACACAATTATTAATATGTTGAAAAATATCAATGATAGTTTACATTTATTACGTTTCGCGCAGTTACTAGAGAAGAGATTTAAAAGTAGTCATATCTGTAATAATATAAAAGAGTCAATAAAAAATACACGTATTATTGCACATAAAAGTGTTACAATTACTTAGTTTTACTAAGAAATTTATTATTTAGGCCATGAGAAAACGCGAAAATTGTTTCGCATATTTGTGAGCGTACAAAGCCCAAGATAGATTTTTCTAAAGAAAAAATTATGAAAGATATATTACGGATTGATTTTCTTGCAATAATCCGTATAGATTAACATATCCTTTTTTTCTCTTTTTCCTTCCGTAAGATAATAGTCAACAAAATATTGTTAAATAATTAAACTTCAGCGTGCACCCGCGCGCGCGCGCACACACACACACACACACACGTTCATTGATAACAAAACAATCGATTTAAAAACAAAATTTAATACAAAAGTACCCAATAATAAAAAAATTGATCAAAAAGCCACGTAAATCATTTTACGAGTCAAAATTTGATTTTGAAAAAAAACTCCGCACGAGCAATATACATAATTTCATTGTTTCTTTTCATTCAACACATAGTTTCGGAAGCGGGCGCAGGTACAGTAGTTAGATTTTTCTCACTCGAATCAGTTGCTTCCGAGTCGCGTATCGGCGGCCTTGCAAGCGTTTGCTCGATTTCGCGAGTTACGCTGATCGTCGGCGGCGGCCTACGAGAGTCCTCGTCGATCGCGGAAGCGCGGCGCAGCTGACGATGCTCGGTCATACTGAAGAAGCACGCGACGCCACCAGCCTCGTCCGCGTGCGTGCCCGACGACGGTCTGTCGTCGTCGTCACCGTCATCGTGGTAACGTCGCTGGATCAAATCTTCCATCTGCTGATAGTCGCACTCTTCCGCGTCGCGCAGATGCTCGTTCTCGATCTGCCACGCCATTTCGGGATCGGACATGTTGCGCGCACGCGGTGGCGGCGAAATCGGTGGCGTTCGCGGCGGGCTCAAGAGACCGCAGTAACTTTCGAGTTCGTCTGTGATGCTGGTGTACTCGGCGCGCATCGTCATCAGAATCGATCGTTGCGCGCTACCGGCCGACGTGACGGACGACGGGATAACAGCCACGCGAGGCTCTGCCCAAGTAACGCCTCTCTGAATACCGGGCGGAGCCTGAATCAGCATGAAGTCGTCCGATTCCGATCGGGTTCTGCTGTTCTGTCTGAACGTACTACGCGTCTCGGCGGAATCTTGTCGGATCGCACGTTGTTCCGTGGAATCTTGTCTGAACGTGCGTTCCGTCGAGTCCTGTCTGGTGTCCGAGGGCGGATTCTCACTGCTGGCTTCTTTGCTGGGCTCCCTGCTTGTTTCTCGGCTAACTTCTCTGCTCTGCTCCTTGCTTGCTTCCCTGCTGGTGGCTTCAATGCTGATTTCCCTGCTCGTCTCTCTGCTCGTCACTTCTCTACTAGGTTCACGGCTCAAATCACGTTCGGATAGTGTATCCTTTTTGCCGTCCGCCTCGTTCTCAAGAACGTCCTTGCTACCTTCCGTTTCTATGCTCGTAGTCGTTTTTAGATCGTCCTGAACAACATGAGCGTCCACGCTTACGGAAGAATCATGTCTGCTGAGATTCTCGCGCGAAGTCACCGTCTCGGACAGTTTGAGAACGTCGTCCTCCATCGGCTGGCCAACACTCAGAAAAGCGGCGTCGGTATAAGAACGAAGAAGCCGCTTGCGCCGCGCGATTGTTGGCAGTTGCGAGTGAGAATCGGCTTCGGAAAAAACTTCCGATCGCTCGGACACTCGACGTTGCCGAACACTGTCGAATGTCTCTAAACCGGCTAAGCCCTCGTTCGGCATATACGTTGCCATAAAACGATGTATCACTCCAAGATGCGACAAAGTCTGTTGGCTCAGCTCCTCTAGTTTGCGAATACGAAATTCCACTGCCTATAAGTTCAAGATGATTTTTACTGTTTTTTTTTTTTTTATGTTTGCTAAACATAAGAATGTATGCTAAACTGTTATACTATATAAATAAAAGGATTTATTTCATACCTGAAGAGATGCGTTCTGAGTGCTCTCTTTTTTATCGATATCCTCGATTTTCTGATGCATATTGTCTACGCGTTCCGTCGTAATTTTCACACGTTCTTCCGTAGACATTTGCAACTTGAGCTCCTGTTCACGAAAGTAACCCTCGACGCAATCCTCTTCAAAGTCATAAAGCCGTTCCATATCGTCGGCTTCGAGGAACAATTTAAGTCCGTTATCGCAGGTCTCGCCGGTGCCGCTTCTACCTTGAGTAATGTGTCTCAGAAAATATCTCAGCAGTAAATATACGTGACAAATTGCTATAAGCGGCGGCGGTAAAACTGGTTTCTGCTCGTATTCCATAACGACGGTAAACCGTTGAAACATCCAGACTTGATGAGCTATAGCATTCACCTCATTGAAAATATTGTTAAATACCGCAATTAACAGATTTATCAGCAAAATATTGGCAATTAAAAGATACACGGACATTGCAGCAGGCGTGATCCAACGGCCCGGAAGACACGATATCATTCCCGGATCGTCTCCGCAATCAGGATCTATGTTATCTGCGTACACTTCTCCGTAGAGCATGAAATACGGCTCCATAAACACCTGAAATACGACGCCAGAAAAAAATAATTATAATAATAATAACATAATTATTATATTATTATATTTGTGAAACAATTCCACGCACGGAAAGTTTTCTTTCAAGTGTATAGCAAAAGTGTAAGACAAAAACCACCAAAGAATATGCACGTACATCTCGTAATATGCGCCACTTTGGATCAGAATTTCGTACCAACAGAGCCTGTCTGGCCACACCGAAACTCATGAGCACAACCAATAAAAGCACCACAAAATATACCATGTTCTTAACCATTTTTCCCATCATAGTTACAAGAGGACCTACATAAAATTGATAATATAACAAATATATCGAAATATTCGGAAATTTAAAAAAAAGGACACTACTTATAAGCTTCTGGTTTAATATTAAGCGTACCAAAATATTTGTTGACACCGAGGATGTTAAGCAATCGTAGATACCAGTACATGCAATTGACGCAGTACATGACGTGACCAATGTCTTTGGTCGACTTTCGCAGACGCAAAGCTAGACCAATTTGGAAGAATATGACAGCGGCTGCGTCGCACGGATTCCACATATTCCACGCCCACACGCTAAATTTGTGCGAGAGCGTTGCCGGTTCCGCGATAACTATCTCGCGTATCTTTTCGCATCCGAGCGTGCAAATATACGCGATCGCGTACATTTCCGCCAAAGATGGTTGCTCGGTCATACGCACCAGAATGCAATACGAGAAAAAAATTAAGAAGATAATATACGCTATCTGTAAAACAAAACAAAAACAAAAGTTATATCAACGTTACAATGGCAGTAGAGTATAACAATATTTTTATCTATTAAGCATTAATATTACTCACGGCGTTCGCCCAAAATTTTGTTATCGGAGCGGTGTAAAACTCGTACAGTTTCTTTCTCAATCTTAACGGCCTGGTTGTTTTGTTATCGTAATATTCAGGTCGAAGACGATCGTAAACGCGATGCACACCATCGTCATTGTCCGTAAGTACTTTACCGTTTTCTTGGACAATCGTCTCCTTGATTATTGTTGTACTATGCTCGTTGCTGATTAAAGCCTATAGAAAAGCGCGAATAATTTACATCCGTTCGAATGAATCACGTGGAATAGACATTAACATACATAAAACTTGACGAATTTCTCAGTGCATGGTTAAATAGGTATTGATATCGGAAAAACTTGAAAAACTTTTAATAGAAAAGGATAAAGAAAAGTCAATTTAGCGCGATCATTCGCTCTATAACCATTCACCAAAAAAGCACCATGACAAGTAATAGAGACATATTATAGACAAAGAAAGAGACAGAATAAGTAAATATAATTACTTGTTCAGAAGATGAGGAAAAGTTGTGTATTTTGTAAGGCGTAAAATTGATAAGTAAATGCGCATAATACATATTTTGATTTTTATTAATCTAAAAATTTATATTAATACTAATAAGCAAAAATTGAAACGCAAGATCTCAATAAGTAAAGATAATTGTCTTGTATCTCAAAGTTCTTTTGCAAATTTAGAAAAATATCAAATTTTTAAATAAAAAAATACTATATATAATAATAAATTCTTGGGAAAATATACATTAAATATAAATTACAGTTAATTACCACGTAATATTGTATATACGAACATAAATATACGATAGTGTAAATATACGATGTATTTTAGAAAGAAATAGTTGAATTGCACAGTTCAAAAATTTAATCAATTTGTTTATAATCAATTATTTAAATCGGCAACTTATTGTGTATAGCACATAAAAATGCACAAGTATATATACATATATGTATTTTATCATATGATACAAGTTATATATTCTAAATATTTTCAAGAACATTTCTTAAAGTCTGATTTAGAGTTTGAATGAATGTTGCAATATATATGAAGCAATTACTGTGATATTGAAACATGATGATATTGATGTTTGTGAGAACTAAAAGTAAACAAGTATAAATAAAAAAGTAGCTTAAAAGTGCATCAGAAAGTGTGAGATTATTGTACAAGGTCACTGCGTGTTCAGGCCAGTATAGAATATACCTTAACGCCCTGTTGACTGGTGGATTTGTTGCGTATGCTCAGGCTCCTGCGCAGACGTTTCTAAAAAATAATTAATACGCATACCCACATAGTCCATATATAATTCAATGTGCACCCATAGTTCAGTAGAGAATAATTTTAATCTTCGAAAATATTTATTGAGAAAACGCATCCCTTAATCCAGCAATTACGATACGTATGGTGCGACAGAGAGAGAGGGTGGAGGAGAGGGAGGGAGAGAGAAAAAGAGAGAGAGAGAGAGAGAGAGAGAGAGAGAGAGAGAGAGAGTTAACGGCGCAGATATTATTAAGTGTAAGCAAAAGAAAACAAGCTAAAGACAAGATTATATCGTTTTTAAATATAACGATGAAATATGATGTAATAATTTCTGTTAAAACAAAAGAAAGATAAGCAAAGAATGGAAACTAAGAGGTAATACTGAACTGTGTTATTTAAATGAATATTAATCATCAGAGATATCATGTGTTGATATGGAAGTTTTTACTCAAAACCCAGCAACCGTATTATTATGCCACATCAGTTTCGTAGTAAATTGCATGTGATTTTTATTTTTTTATTTTTTTTTATCACTTGTTGCGTTATAAAAGCCTTCGAAAAGTAAAATGTATAGTAGAATATTAACTGAGTACATCTGAAATTCTTAAAAGAATAATTGTTTGACAGTGCGTTGTTTATTAAAATAAATAATTATTTACCTCAACATCCGGTCCAGCTGGTGTACTGTGTTCGGAATCGCTGTCTTCTTTCTCGTCTTCCAGAGATATCAAATGTTCTTCTTGCGTCTGTGGCATCAATTGCAATTCTTCTCTACTTTTAAACTCCAATCGCGTTATGTATACAGGAAAAAACAATCCCAAGATCACCTGATAATATATTTTAACGAATATATTTCTTACATACGATATTTGATTAATAAGTTACAAACCGGACTGGAGAGAGAATCACATCAGATTATAAATAAGCACCTTTAAATTAGTATTTTTTCGTGTACGAAGACCTCCCATCCATAAGTCGGCCAGAATAATTTGACTACAAGGATGTGCCAATAACGGTCGATGATTCGCCGTAACCGCGAGAGACAAGCACGTTTGCCCCGACCAATTCTGCAGTTCCGAAGTTAACAATTGCTGTGTCTGATCGTCATCTTGTCGGTAACAATAATCCAATAATTCAAGTGCTATGTGTGTAAACAGAGATTCGATGTAATTAGCGTTTTGGCTACGTGATATTAGTTTCGCATTTGAAAAAACAACTTCTACAACACTCAATCATACCTATGTTTTCAAATTCCTTGCCGTATCCACGCAACTCGTCATAAACCTCAGTTTCCAAATCATCCTCGGCCGCCTCGTGCGCCATCGCTTTGTACAATTTTAGCGCGACCAGCGCCTTGGCCAGCGCCTCTTCTCCATGCTGCCACATCAGAAGAGCCATTTGCTGACGTTTTGTTAACACAGCCCAAATCAACAGCTCATTGAACGGGTAATCAAAGAGAGGTGTATCGCGATTAGCTGGTAGTGTCTCGGCGAGCAGGCTCATGGTCAAGCTGTCAGACTTGCTGCCCGAACCCGCGTAATAGCGCGTATTGCAAGTCGGAACGCAACTGTTCCGGTGCATGTGCTGTTGATGAGCACCACCGGATCTCTTCATCACTTTCGTATAGATGACGCGAAATCGTCTACGCGTATATTGTGCGCGATAAGCGCCGCCCATCAGTTTGTTAATTACGAGACCGATGTCGTGCAGCGTGTACATGTAACCTCGCGGAATATTTGGCCGTACGTCGCGCAAAATGTAACCTAATGTGTTCGACGGTCCTTCTTTCTACATATTTCCGTCGAATAAAAATTTAATTTTCTTTAATAGATAAAAATCAAATTGTTTGCTGAGAAAAATAACTTCAAGAATGAAAAATTAACTCACCGTATTGTACAACTCTTCGAGACGAGGTATTGATAAAAATTTCCGCATGGAAACACCGTTTTCTAACAGGAGTTTCACAAAGTCTATTCTATCATGCTGAAGCGCTTGCATCATGGCTTGATCCAGAGCACCAGACGGCCATTTTTGACCGTACACAAAAATCTCACTTCGGGCGATGTCTACCCGGTTCCATATTAAAGAAAGAGACAACTGTTCAGCTGGGGATAATTGTTTTGATTTAAACAAAGCTGTCAGTATAGTTTGATCGAGCTCTTGCGGCCTGTCCTGCGATATCCTAAACACTGTGATCTGCAAATACAAATTTTGTATTTGTGAAATTTTCGAGATTTACGCAATACACAAAACAATATATCTTGTTCGCAATAATAGAACATTTAGCTACCAAATGTTTCTTTCGTGTACATTGCAATAGTTCTGAACAGAGTTGGTTAGCCTGTTCAACGGAAACTTGAAACGTGCGTTTAATCGTTTCTATAACTTGTTCCTTGACTCCCTCGAGCGGCCCTTCTCCGTCACCGGTCTGACCATCTCTCCATCTAAAATACACGTGCGTGTTATCGCATAAATATATTCATTTTATATTTTGTAGACACATGGCATATAAGAATGTAAAATTGTCGCAAATACTTGTGCATAAAAGCAATTAGATCGGCCGCACGTCCCGAGCCATCGCAAACTACCACAGGCACAGGAGGATCATCTGTCACGTATTCTAAAACCGCGCGGATAGTATTTGTTCCTCCTTCAATGACTAAAGCAACTACAGGTATGCTGCTGTGAGTATCTGTGGAAAATTTGGAATTAAACACTTGCGAAGTCACAGCGAGAAATTCGATCATTATAAAAAAGTACGCACATGGTTGTAACTTTAGATTTGAGATATATTTCTCTAATCTTCTACGAAGAACAATTTCTGCGCCGTATCGACCGCCAGTACCATTGTCTACTAGTAAAAAGTAAGCGTGTCGATTATTTAATACTGTGTACTTGGTCCTGCAAAGTGATGTGCAACAACATTTTAGACATAAAAAAACAAATACACTTTCATAGTATGTTTTAGCAATATGCTTTTGCATCATATGTGTATTATAAAATGAAATTCTTTTACCATGGCGAAGAAACGCAATCGTACGATACTTCGCCACCGCGACCAATTAGCTCATGGCTTTTGTCTAAAATTCCCCAAGGTGCTATACCAATGCTCACTACGCGGCCCTGTCGCTGAGAACGTTCCAACAACAACGCGTCACCGACTTGTCGTGTAACACCTATAAAAATCACATACAGTAGTGCCTCGCTAACTTTCCACTTCTCGGTTCCGCAAACAAAAAAATGTCGAGAAATATCGTTCCGAAAATTGCCGGCTGTTATCTGATTGGCTTGACCGCCGCAGAGTCATCTCCACCAATTCGCGCGAAGCCTCGGCGAAGCACTTCTAGAAATTGATGGGGATGACTCCCGGTAAGATACCGAGGGAAAAATTCGGCACGTTAGCGAGGCTACTATATATACTAAATAAAATTGTACATCTGTCACATTATATAGAACACAGTGATAATGTATATATATTGAAACACGCAACGGTTTTCATAAATAAAAGTATACCCGTGTTTGTTCCTCCTGTGAATATCCATGCTCCTGTTGTTTTAGCAGCTTTCAATAAGCCCTTCCGTAAAATCTTCTTCAGACTAGGCTGAAGTTCAAAGTTTGATCGACCACCATGGACCGTGATCAATAATTTGGGCAGACCTAAGTTCCACTCTCGACATAAGAGTTGTACAATCGGCTCTGGCCGCGTATCATGAGCCAATCTTACATACTGCAAACAATATTCAAATATATACTCAAAAATAAAACATATACTCAAATATATGTATATATATATGTATGTGTATGTATATGTATATATGTATATATATACTTGTGCTTTTGTAGGATGCGGACCACCCTGAAATTCTATGGTACCGTATGCATCAGTGGGAAAGGGACGAGTATTCTTTCCAGGAGACCATTGCTCGCGATCCTTCTCTTTCTCTTTAATGTCAGTATAACTCTGAACATCCGCCCCGGTTCCACAATGATGGGTGTATGAATTGCCACAGCAACATCTATATAATAGTACATTAGTTTAGAAAAACAAATTGATTCATGCGTGTGATTACAGTTATCATTATCATTTTAGTAATTTTACCGTTTTTCTTGTACCGCATAAATTGTTATGCGTATGCTATAAAGCATGAGGGTTTGATGATGTCATATATACGTATTATAATAAAAATCAATATAAATATTATATATAAAAATGTAGAATATACATTTTTTCTTTTTATCGTTGAATATGGAAGATTTATGTGAAAAAGCAAATATTTAAAACTCAATGTAATTATGATTTTATGTGGATTGAAAATGATCATTGGACATACAAAATTCATGTAATAAGATGGTCGTAGTGCAAGAAGAATGTGAATTCGGTAAGTGTTCATTGTATCCGAAGTTAAATGCGCGCGAGTGTTACATAGGATAGTTAAAGATGGATTTATCGAAGTCAAAAACATACAGATGTCCATGCGGGATGCACAGAAATTTCTCACCTGGAAGAAGTGATCACATCATACTCTGCATTTGTATCTCCCTGTACTTGAACAAGCCTACAAATGGAATAAAACAAAAAAAAAAGTAAATCAAATCGAAATGTGAATAAGGAAATGTTGGACACGAATGTAAATGCATCTCAAAATTTCTGATCAAAAATAGATGTGCAAAACATAAACTAGAGTGATAAAGACACATAGAATCTACTTACGGTACAACAGTGAAATGACTAAAAAGTAAGCGAATTGCAAGCGAAAGAGTAGACTAATGAGAGCCAATATGAAATGATGTACATCTATTTTGAATTTTCTTAAACGATTAAAATCACACTCTATAGCACACGCTTGCATTTTTATTCACAACGTAACACACAATTGTTTATTGAGTAAGACATTTTTTAAGACACAAATTAACAATTATTATATTATTATATTATGTTGTTAGTTTAGAAAATATTAAATAAGATTGTTTTTAGTATAGTTTCAGCATTATATAAATATGTTCATTTATAATATATTCCTTTTTCTACAAGCTAATATAAATATTTATATTTTAGTAGTATTTTTCACACAGAACTCCTACCTACGATCATCCTCTGCACTTGGAATAAACTTTGTACATTCTCTCTTTTGAAATGTCGCCTCTATCCAACTGCGTTCAGTTGTCTGTAATATGTACAAATGTAACAATTAATGTTACAAAAGTCAAAAGTTAGTTAATTTAAAAAAAAACTTTTTGATAGTATTTTTCATTTGCTAAAGTGTTTCTATTGTAACACAATGAAAATAAACCAAATGCGTGATGAAAATAAAATAACTAAAAACACAGCTCTTGTGAGAGTAATAATATCTCTTTGAAATAATAATAAAAAGCCGATCGACAAAAAGAAAAATACCTTAACTTTCTTTTTCTTCACTTTTGGGGCATTTGTACCACAGATAACATTTCCAATTGCCATTGTGCTGTGAGATGAAGCTTGCATTCACTTTAACTTAAACAGTGTGCTAATGACAAAAAATAAAAAAAGAACAAAATAGAAACTGATCAAAAATCAGAAAAAACAAAGTAGAAACTGATCAACATAACAATTGACAGAATAATCATTGTTCTAATTGTTTCTGCATAATAAATCTTGAGTTTAATAACTGGAAATGTCTGTTTTAAATTTTCCACATGATATCGTACAATAACAAACTTTAATTAAAAAAAAAAAAACGAGAAACTTAAGTGCAACAAAAATAAGATAAATATCTGTTAGATAAGAAGTCTATTAAAATCCGAATAATATTTACTGTTTGCACATATTTGTCAATCAATTTTTAGTTGCGTTATTGCGTAAATGTGCAATTATTTAAAATGTTCAATTATACAGTTGTGTATTTTAACAATAGCCGATATATCCAAAATATAAAACAACATATATTAATTACAATAAGATAAAATAATATTAATATCTGAAGTTTTTGCACACACATCGCTGCGATTACTAAAGAATTATACTTACGAATACGTATTTTTTTACTCACCAATCGACAGGATTTGTTCTTGACGATCATTTTTGTTTGCGAATGATAATTGCAAAGTGCGCTAAACCATTCGGCTCGAACAGCAGCGACTCTGTCACACTCTCGCAATTTAAAAGATTACACCGTAAGTTTTGTATATTATTCCGGTTACGGTTGTTTACGACAAAATATTGTGCCAGCTAAAAGAACAATCGTGACACCGATAAGAATGTTGTGGAATTGCCACAATAAAAAAAAAAAAAAATAAGTTTTTTAGACGAGAAAAAATTATGGAATTTTAGAGCAATGATTATTATTTTTTTTTTGCCTATACATTTATCGCTGGAAAAAGTGTAGAAAATACGCGAGGATGAGACTCCACATAACGCGCTATCGTCAATATGATCGTTTTCATCGGAGAAGAGAAATACTTTCACAATCGACTCTGATCAACGTGCCGTCGATTTTACGTAATCGCTTTTGCTTGTTTCACTGGAGTTTGAAATTGGCGGGAAAAGTGACGGCCCGCCATGTACGCGATCATGTGGCGAATTAACCTCTGCGCGTCGTCACTGCCGTTAACTAAAAAACGCGATCGAAGGCGCGTAAAAAAAAAAAAACAGTGAAAAGAAATTACGAAGAAACGAGTCGCGTGCGTCGTCTCAGCACGCATTTAATTGCTGATTACATCAAATAATTCTCATTGCAATGTTCACTGTCTTGACACTTGTCTCTTTCGCTTTTTCTCTCTCTCTCCCACCCTTGTTAAAGTCTTGCGATCACGCTCTTGCGAAGAGAAATAATTCGGGATAATAAAAGTGAAAAACAAAATAATCTTAATAAATTTTAACAATCTTATATTTATGCACGCGTAATACACGGAGAATATATGAAAAATCGAATTCGAAGCAAATCTTAGGGAGCTTTTTGCAAAATGCGCATCCTATCGGTTCGGAAAATTTGTGTAGATTGTCGCGAAAAGAAAACATTTTCTGTCACACAACAAGATCATCCGTGATCAAACGGTAACAATATACGGAGACAAATAAATTACGATCTGAATTCTGGTTTCTAAAAGATTGTAAAAAGAAATACAAAAACTTGCATTTTCGGAGACGGTATAGCCGATTTTTACGAAGAGGTCAGAAAAATTTGTACATACGTAATGTGCACACACAATTTTGTTCATGCACTCACCGCATCAAGAATCAAAACGTTGCAACTTGTCAAGTGATTGCATTCATCGCACGCATTTTACACGTTACTCTATCTTGGGCGATTGTTGGGATACGACGACGCGTGATTTTCCTCTTTGCACACCACGGACGCGAACAACAACCTTCGACAGCTGTCCGAGGAACCCGAGAATGTCCCACACAAGCATACGAGAAAACCCGGAACACCCCTCCGCACGCGCGAGTTCACGACGAACTGCGGGAAGAAGAGGAGTGCGCGATTATCGCGACGCGTCTGGCACGAGTTAAAGACCTGTTCCTTTTAACTGCGCTTCTCCTATCGTGTTTCGAGTTCTAGTTTTTTTTTTCTTCGATAACAGCACGTTCTTGTTGCGCTCTTGCAGCGTGTACGAGCAAATAAAATTCAAAATTTTGAAGATTTTTGAATTAAAAAAATTTTTAACTTTTTTAAAACAATAAATAAAAAACTTTTAAAATTAAGAATTTTACAGTATAGAATATAGAGTGCATAATATGTGTATATATTTTTGTATAATGTACGTAATATATATTTTTTAAGTTTTTATATTAAGTTTTCTATATTATATATTTTTTATGTCTGATTATATATTCTAGTATCTCATTGTCAGTTTAGGCTAAAAAAGAAAGAAAAAAAAAAAAAAAAAAAAAAAAAAAAACAAGAATCCATATTCTTTGTATCGTCCACATATATGTCGTCTAACGATCTATAATTAATTATAGCACACACGTGTTTTTCTTTACAGCAAGTTTATTTGTACTCACATCAACCCTCTCACCATTCTTTGAGTGGCACAACACTCTTCACGTTAACGTTACTAGTTATCGTCGAAAATAGGCCAAGAACATCCTTTAATCTTAGCATTCTATCAAAGATATCGACAATATATGTACTGTCAAGTTTACCGCGTACAAGAAAATGAATAAATTTTTCAAATAAATATCTAAACCAAGACTACTTTCAGACTACTTGCCGCAAGACAATTATGTATGTTCTTTTTTTTATTCGATAATGTATATAGAAAATAAAATATTCTATTGAAATATTTATTTAATAAGTTTTTAAATTAAGGTCTACTTCACACATGCTGTTATGAAAACCTTGAGAAATTCGAGATTTATTTATGAGATGTAATATACATGTACACATTCTAAACTAAATATAAAAGCTTTAAATACATGTTACATAAACAAGAATGCTTTTCGACAAGATGATAGCGGAAATAGATTAACAATGATGAGAGTAAATAATTAATTATATATTTTCTTAACAAGTGGAAGATTTGTTTTTTTTACATTTAATACATATATATACATAGGTGTGTGTGTGTCTGATATTTGATGCTTTCGTGATGTATTGTATTAACATTCGAAGATGTTTTTTGAACCGCGTTAGTGTCATTTTTTTATACTGACGTTTCGTGAACATTTCAGCTCACTTCATCAAGATTTCAAGAGCAGTCTGTGTTGATTATTTTATATATATGTATAATGTACCCTGTATATATATATACATATACAGGGTATCCCAGAATTGCCGTACAATCTCTCGTAGGCAGGTAGGTGATGTCACACCAATTCTGGGACACCCTGTATATATATACAGTCGAATCTCGATAACTCGAATTTCAAGGGAAGAGCTAAAATCTTTGAGTTGTAGAGATTTTGACTTATCGAAGTGTCCTTTTCCTTTCCGCGGAGCGGAAGGAAGTGAACACAATTTTCGTCTTATAGAGATTTTCGAGTTATAGACGTTCGAGTTATCGAGGTTTGACTGTATACATATATATATCTTTTTGTGCAATTATTCTACTTTGTTATATATAGACAATTTCAGCAAGTATATACATATGTATATTGCGTATACACACACACACTTTCATTCTGAAATACTTTCTTAACATTCGGTAAATATAAATACCTATACATTTCTCCTTTCTTGCCTTAATTTTATTACAAATAACTGGCTCTTCACACTTCACAGATTTAAAAAATAATTAGTACACAATCTGTTAGGATCAGTAGAAATAGTATTTCTCAATTTATATATAAAAACTTAGTAATTGGATTAATAGAATCAATAAGAGAAAATGAATTATATATCAAAAATATCGTATCATCGTGTTTTTTATATAAAGTACACGTATTTTGTTTTTGTGACATTCAATCGGTGTATTGTGTGTGCAATTAGAATATTCTTGTAAAACTCATAAAATGTTCTTACAAAACTCTTTCGTTCAGTGAAGAATCTACAGAAAAATATAAATAGAAAATATAACAATTCAAATTCTATAGTGTTTGTTTTATATATCCTCCTTTCACATATAGAAACCTCAATATGTTTCTACAGCGTAAAAACTTCTTTCATTGGTAGCGTAAATGCTGGAAGTATATTACTCAATACAGTACATCCCTTAAAATATACTGAGACAATTTTATCACAATTTATTTTCTCACTTAACAGCATCTTTTTTATCTTCTATCTTTGCCGAACATGGCATCCAGAAACAAACCCAAAAACACTGTGAAAGTGCCCATCCATTGTCTAAATGTCAAATTGTTACCAAAGAACAATATAGAGCCTAAGACTGTGAAGAACTTTCTAGTAGTGGTTATAATTGAGCACGGCAACGGACCGAATTCGGCTACGGTCAGAAATATGAAATATTGTCCAAATGCACCGGCTATAGAAAATGTCATTATGTGCCATATAGTAGAAGGATATCGTTGCAGGAAACTAATGAATTCGGACAGTTCTCCCGAAATGACGATTACTGTGCCGCTAAAAATAACAGACCAAACGTTCATGTTAAGCATCATGTGGCCCGACCTTGAATTGTGCTCTGCCCTCATTCGTTCCTGCACCGCACTTGTCAGCCCATCCATTGTTAAAGATAGCAATAACAACAATTCTCCTACTGACAATTGCGACTCTGACTGCTTCTTAGTGACATTGCTGTCTTTGTACATAAACAACGCGACTCCAATGACGATCAACACAATGAATATGTACTTTCTAACTGGATATACCTGCAAATGAAACAACATAATTATCGCAATGAAAAACAAGTACTTGAAAAAATATAGATCTGAAAGAGAGAGAGAATTGTGTCACCTTTTTTCCCAGCAAAACACCGAGTATCATCACTGGGATCGGCTTGCCAGCCTTGCCAATCACCTGGGTGGGATAGCTAACAAATTGCAATGCCATGTTGCTGCACACCATGGCGAGAAGATATGTGAGGGCGGACAGCACATAGTACACGGTCAACGTGGTATCCTCGCCCTGGTTCATCACCGTCATCAAAATTGTCTTAGCAAAAAGATAATTCACCAGGCACTGAACAAAGACTAGCGCGAACATATATGTGAACTTTTCCCGATTCTCGCCGTCACCGTACTGGCCGCGCGTGATCTTCTCCTGGAGCATACCGAAGTAGAAGTAGCACACAAAAATGCCAGCCGCGCATACAAACAGCTTGAAGTGTTTATCGGTGCCAACCATTTCTCAGCTATTTCGCGCGACGTCATATAACGAAACACCTTTGATTTTTTCTTCGCGCTTCTTCTTCTTTTGACGTGTAGCGTCCGGCGAAGTTTCAAACGCGCAGCGCGACCGTGTCAAATCGTACGTGGCGGGCTTTCTTCTTCCTTGCAGTTATGGCTCTCCGAACCCACTCGGTTGGTCCGTACGCCTACATACGCCAGTCTGTGTGTACGTACGTGGTATACGTGGCGGGCAAGCATAGGCGCAAAGATCGGTTCGAGTGTAGAACTGCATATTCGTACGGACAGTGTGAGTTGCAAGTTGAAAAGAGAACGCGATGGTTTCAAGAGGACGTTCTGTTTCTCTTTTATCAACTTGATACATCAACAGCGAGAACTCGAATTGCGACAGCGAAGATCGAAACCGTTTTTTTTTTTTTTTTTAGCAAAAAACGCAACGATATCGAGGATCGATAAATCAAATTAAATTCGAAACGACGATAGCGAAGATTCGAACCAATATTACTTCAGCGCTGTTTTGATACACAATTTCGCGACCGCTAAGTTAGCTCGCAACTGTTGAATAATAATAATAAAAAATTGTTGAATAATAATAATTTAAACGCACAAAAAATCTAATCTTGCTTCAAGAACAAACAAAAAGAAAATGATCGTCTGGCATTATCTGTACAAAATGCAAATAATAATTGGATGTTGCTGTTTATGTACGAACGCCACGAAGAGTAATGACAGCTGTCATTGCGGTAGTAAATTGAATCGACAGGTGATCTTTAGTACTCGCAAAGAAGATTACTGTACCGCGAACGGTTCTAAGATCAATGCGTCAGTTCTCCGAAATGAACGGAAAATCGAAAATATGGTCAGGATTGACGCTGGTGTCTATTTCGTGGGAACGAACAATCCGGTATTCGTGGCGGATGGAGAAGGACCGAAACGTCAGGTAGCATTAGACAGCTTCTACATAGACAAGTTTGAGGTGAGCAATGAGGAATTTGCAACTTTTGTAAATGTCACCGGATATACAACGGAAGCAGAGAGTTTTGGAAATTCTTTTGTCTTCGAAAGTTTCTTGACGCAAAGTACAAAAGACAAAATTAAGGAGATGGTTATGCTGGCTCCTTGGTGGCTGCCTGTGAACGAAGCCTCCTGGCAACATCCAGAAGGTCCTGACTCAAATATCACTTGTAAGTGTAGAAAGGAAAATATATATTTATATCATTAATTTATATCGTAGTTTACATTGCAATTAAGAAGTTTAAATTATTGTAATATTCCATTATATAAACACAAGAAATCTACGATATCTCTTTTTCTCTCTCTCTCATCTTCTTTAAATTCTAAAATTAATTGGAAGGTATGTAGTCAGAATGGATCATCCTGTTGTTCATGTTTCCTGGAATGACGCTGTGGCTTACTGCAGTTGGATGGAAAAGAGACTGCCTACCGAAGCAGAATGGGAAGTTGCTTGTCAAGGTGGACTTTCCGACAGACTTTATCCTTGGGGAAATAAACTGATGCCAAAAGAGCAGCACAAGTAATTTTGAGCTTATTTAAATCTTTTTTTTTTTTTTTTATGTAGAGTGCTTTTGTGCAAGTTTCTCATTAGCATTTCTTGTAAGAAAGATTCATGCTTGATTGTTGTTTTATCAGAGCCAATATTTGGCAAGGCAATTTTCCAATAAAAAACACAGAAGAAGACGGATATAAGGGCACATCGCCGATTACAATGTTTCCGCAAAATAAATATGGCCTACATAATATTGTTGGAAATGTTTGGGAATGGACAGCTGATTGGTGGATAACTAGGCATTCACATGATTTACAAAAAAATCCTGTAGGTATTTTCAGTTGAGAAAAAGTTAAATTTTTTATTTGTATCACGATAAAAATTTATATAGTTTTGAATACGTGCATATACGTTTTCAGATTGGTCCCTTTAGTGGTTCCGACAAAGTGAAGAAAGGCGGTTCCTATCTTTGTCACAAAAGTTACTGTTTTAGATACAGGTGTGCCTCGCGCAGTCAAAATACACCTGAAACGTCAGCTGGAAATTTAGGTTTCAGATGCGCCTTATCAGCATAAATGAGAAGTATTGTACTGAAGCTTACAGATAAAAAAAAAATATCGCCATCAAAAAAATTAATGAATACGAAGTTGTAAAGTAAAATAATGATGTATATTTTAAAAACAAAATGATACGTCCAAAATTTGTGTTCACATTTTTTTAAAAACAACAAATTTATATAGAAATTGTTAAAAACAATAATATATGCATATATACGTGTATATATACTCATCGAATTGATATTACCGACTACTGTACTTTTATACATGCTTTTCGAAATACCAGTTGTTGGTTGGATCTCTCCAAAGTTTCTTTACAAGCTTAGTTTTATGCTAATGATAATATAGGTGGCGGAATTGTCACTTTCACTCGATAGTCTTCTGACATCTCTTTCTGTAAAACATTTCAAACATGATTTTATTGTAGTGTTTAGTAAAGTGAGATTCCTGTCAATTATTATGAACGCGATCACTTTTATCGCGATAGTATTTTTCGCCGAATTATGTTGCGGCACTTTGTCACCACCGACAAAAAAAATCAAGAAAGATAAGGGCAAGACCAGCAAAGTAAGCACATCATATGTATTTGTTTAAAAATATATAAATTTGTAAGAATATATAAAAATATATGTAACTTTGTTTAAAAATATATATTTTAGATGTTGTATGTTAAATATTCGATTTAGCAATTTTCTTACTAGTTCTAGACTTTTTAAAAACTCTAAGGTATTGTTGTATAAAAATATTATATTTCTTGAAGATAAACAAGGGTCCTTTTGATCAAAATGTCTTTCAACGAAACTTGTTAGTGGAAAACCCCAAACAACAGGACATTCTTCGCGAATCTGGTCAATATTTTCAGGACACAAGACACAGAAGATTTCAACAAGATGTCTTGGGATATTGTACACCTGTAAGTAGCTACACATATCTTAAATGCTATCTATCTATTTACATTCACAAAAGTACAGTACCTGTATATACTCACGTTGATTGTAATCCGATTTCTCACAGTGGAATGGAAATGGATTTGAAATATCAAAAATATTCCATGGCAAGTTCACCATGATATCGCCTGTATGGTTGTCTATTCCATTTGGCAATACTTCAAATTATCAATTGTCTGTTCATTCTGTGCAAACCAAATGGATAAAAGAGATGAAGAATTATAACAGCGCTAATCATAGTGTCAAAAGTAAGTTCGAGATTTTGACACATTTTGATTAATAAAAAACACTACTGTGATTATTCTGTTTTAATTGCAGTTCTACCTAGGGTAATGTTCGAACATTGGTCACTAAATGATATTATTAAGATACATAGCAGTACAGAGAATCAAGCTCAATTAATAGTGTCTCTCTTAGATGCTGCCCAGGTTGAATATAAATTTTCTAAATTTATTCGATTATTTTATGTATCTTAATAACTGTCAAAATTCAGCTTGAGAAATGTTATATTTGCAGACGTTCCATTTCGATGGATACGTTCTAGAAATGTGGAATCAGTTTGTGTACGCGGGCGCAAATCTGCCAACTGTTACTTCCATAGCCAGATTTATAGCCCAGAAATTGAAGAAACACAATCTAGATATTGTATTAGCAATCCCACCGTCTAGAAGGTGATGCTTGACGCTTTTCGAGCTTGCATAATTTTCACAATTTTTTGTTTTACAATTTTTGTGTTTCTCGATTTTTTGTTTTCAGTGCTCAAGTTGAATTGTTTGCGAAGCAGCAGTTCGACGAACTTGCGCCATACGTAAAAGCTTTTTCGCTGATGACTTACGATTATTCGAGCATTCAACGACCAGGCCCGAACAGTCCTCTCGATTGGGCCAGACAGTGCGTGGAACTGTTAGTACCAAGAAAAAATGATCCTAGACGATCTCAAGTTCTGTTAGGTATTAATTTTTACGGATACAATTACACTCCGGAAGGTGGCAGAGCGATACTTGCGTCCGAATACTTGGACATATTAAAGTCTTTCAAAGGGAAGATTCAGTGGGACGAGAAAAGTAAAGAACACTTCTTTGAGGCAAAGTAAGACACTTCTTCCAGGCAAAGTATTCGAAAACGATCTATCTCGAATGCCGTTACGTTCAATTGCGAAAACTTAAAATACAACTTGACTTTTTTTTAAATTTATCCTATTGTGGATATAATATAAATTAAATACGTAATCGTCGTGAATTTACATAAATGCATTTTTATATTTTAGATTACCTATAGGAAACGGCTACGTTTTCTATCCTACGTTGCACTCGATTAAGTATCGTCTGGATCTCGCCGAGGAACTGGGCACGGGAATTTCCATTTGGGAATTAGGTCAAGGATTAAATTATTTTTACGATCTGTTGTAAAACCTCACATATTGAATAACATTTTCTATTTTATAATATATATAATCAGTATTTTGGTCTACATTATCCTATGTACAGAACAAGATATGTTTTGTTGTTAAAAATAAAAATACGTTTCAGTATTCATAACATTTGTGTTCTTGCGCTAAACTCGCGTTTAGCAATATCCCGAATATTTAGCTTCGCGTGTTTTCGACGCGCGCACGTACATCCTTGTAATTTGTACTATCATTTTTGTCGTTCGATGACTCTAGTGACGCACGACCTTTAAATGTCATCATGGATTGAGGTCCTTTTACGATGTGATATAGCAACGCCCAAGATAGTTTCATTGGCAACACACTAGAATAATTTTGCGTAAGAAGATTTTCTTGTATAACGTTTTTTTTAATGTTGTTAACGATCATTGAACTCACTATTTAAGTAGCACTAGGAAGTTCATGAATCTAGGTAATATCATCCATCCCTCGTTCGTCAATATACCTGCGACCACCTCTTCGGCAACGAATTCTGGCTCAAGCATCGGTAACATGCTATTGTAAAATAGATTTTGTTTATAATTAGATACATATATCGCGCTATAAATCATATTTGTTTAGCAATAAATCAAAAAGAACAAAAAATACGATACTCGTAAAATTTTTGTAGAATTTCTCTATCGTTTGTGACTTTACAAACCTGGGTTGAACTCCGTGAAACATTCCTGTATTTATTAAGTATGGACAAACCAAAGTCATGTAAATCCCATCGAATCCATGCACCTTTGAAAAATAGTTTAAGATAATAAATATTAATAATAATGATAATAAAAGAAAGAAGACAAATTTGATTAAGAAATGTCCACATAGCACAGAAAAATTGCAAACATCTTATTGCAATATTGTAATATTACAAAGTGCGCAATGTAGATGCAATATGAATGCAATGTGAAAAGCAACATAAAAATGTCCGCCTCTAGCAAGATTGCGCTACATTATCATATCCATATTGCAGCGCAATGTACTTACCTGCAACAATAAATAAAAATATTTCTCTTGTTTTTATTAACTATAATTTACAGTACATATTGTGATTATAATTAGAACCAATTTTGGAGCCGAATGTATCGCATCTATTGTTGCCTCTTTTCCGCGTTGCCGATTGGTTGATTGGTCGATCGAGTCGAATCGAATCGGTAAGATCGAAAGAGTAAATAATGAAAAGCGATTTTGAGACAGTTCGTCGTATATGTAGAGACAATTAAAAACGTAACTAAAGTCACCTTGTTATTTTATAACTTATAACGATTAAATTCGTATATCGTTGCGCAGCTACAGAAATATCGCGAATGCGTCAGAATAAGTTACGGAACAGGTTCGCCGGGCTCGGCAGTGCAAAAACAAATTTATTTATAATCTGTTTTGTAAGAATTGATGAACTGCAGATGTAGCGTGTGTCTCGATTATTTTTTCTTTAGTTGTATATATAATTAAGTTTACGGTGAAGCTAATAAATAATTTATATAGAACTCTATCGAATCACATGCCCGAAACAGTTATTTATTGATACTTAAATTTTTTGTAAATAATGTAAATTGTAGATATATAGTTTTTTTTTTATTTTTCATCTATTTACATTTGTCGATCTTTTATAACAGTCCGATTTTACATCTCTAATTTGGCGTAATATTGTTGTGTGTGTACGATTTTATTGAAAATAATACGAGAAAATTCAGACAAAATCTTATTTGAGTTCACAATCACAAATTTTCCTGTTCGCCCGCTTTGCGATTTCTAATTATTACAAATAATGGCCATGTAATATTAATCCATGTTTGAAAACGGAAACTTAATAACAACTAGTGTGTAGTGACAAAAATTATTAACTGAATTCAGAAGAAAGATTAAGGGGAAAAATACTTAAAAAGAGCGAGTTCACAATATCTCTCATTAAAAAATCCATGTGTACCGCAAAGTGCGCGCTTTTGAGTCGAATGAACACAACATTAAATAATACATATTATATACATATAATTTATTATATATTTATAATATTATACTTTATATTGTATTATATGTATTATATACATACTACAGTAATGTCACTGACCTCCGCCGCGCGGCCTTGGCAGGGCACTGACCTCGGCCGCGCGGCCTTGGCGGGGCACTGACCTCGGGCGCGCGGCCTTGGTGGGGGGAAGTCACTGACCTCGGCCGCGCGATCGCGGCGGTGTTACTGACTTGGGTCACGTGATTACGGTATATATATATATGCAAAAATGTTAATCTGCCTACTTTTATCATTCATATTGCAACTTTTAAACTTTTCTGAAATAAAAAAATTGAATACAAAAGAAAATGCTCTCTATCGTAGCGTCGAGATACGGTTAAAGAGATTTTGAAGCTGCGTTGTGGTTACATGTTACATGTCACATCGCGTCAGCGTTCTCGCACAGCGCATCGGCATGTAAACATTTCAGTTGCTAACACGGTGTAAAAAGAAAGGTGTCCCCACCGAACTATAATATGGAACGCGCCTTGCTATTGTGCTATTGAGCTGTCCGCGATAGAGAGCATCACAACTAGGATCTCTGTCTTTGTCTCGTCGTCGCTGATTGTTTGAAATTTATACGAGTACAGTCCAAGACAAAAGAACAACGAAAAGTAAAGAATGACTGCGTTCAGCAGAAATCAGCGCTCAGCAATTGCTACGCCGAAATATATATATTATACGTTATCAATATCTATAATGTCACAGAAATATTACCCGCGCAATCTCTGCAATATTCCAATATTCCTGCAATGTAACTGCAAGTTTCTGTGCTGGGTGATACGGATAAGTTTTTTATACATACTTTGAGCTCGTGAAACAGACTTTCATGATATCCAATAACAGCAAATTTTGACGCGCTATAATCAGTGCAATTATAAGTTCCTAAGAGTCCGGCGACGCTCGCTATCGTTACAATGTGACCGTGATTGTTCTTCATCATGTCTTTCAAAAACGACTTCGTGATCTATGACAAAACAAAGATAAAAAAAGATCAATAAAATTATAATATAAAATATAAAATTATAATTATAGATATAATCTTTAGATAAGGCATAAATATTAAATAGTATTTTTCATTTAGTGATGTAATCTAAATCCTGCTTAGGTAAAGTTTTATTGTCAAAGAAAGGAAGAGAGAGAGAGATTATATATATTGCATAAATTTTAATGTGTAATTAGATGTGTACTTACCCAATAATGTGACAAAACGTTTATTTTATAAGTTCGATCAATTTCATTATCAGGCAGTTCCATGAAAGTTTTTCCGCACACATATCCAGCATTATTTACCAACAGTGTCACCTGAAACAATGAGAAGCATTAGAAATATTTTAATGTAATTACGCAAAACATTGTATTCTGCCTTAATAGCTAAAAAAAAAAAATAAAAAAAAACTTAATGTTGAATAAAAAACAAGCAAATATTCTCTTGTAAGTACGACTCTTTTCCTCACATTTCCAACTTCAATCTGCACCGCTTTTGCAGTGCGATATACTTCCGCTTTGTCAGAAATATCGCAATAGTACGTGTAACATATTCCACCAATGCTTTTTATCTCTTTCGCAAGTTCTGCAAGACCTATAAAAATCAAGAGTTTTCTTTCTTTCTCTTTCTTTTTTTAAAAAAGTATTGTATTGTAATATTGTAATATTTTTATATAAATATATTTTCAATATATTATCAATATATATATTATCAATATATTATCAATATTTTTAGTCTTACATTGTAATATTTTTGAAGGCGGACATTTCAACGTTACCGTAAGCTTGCAGTAACATTGCAGAAATATTTCGCAACTATCACGCAATATTACAATGTTTCGTTGTAAGATTTATGCAATGTTACTGCAATTTCGGTGCTATATGGGTTTTCTAACAAAGATATGTAAATTTCAGATAAAATATTTGTGATTACAAGAGTTTACACAAAAAATTGTAAATACTTAAATAAAATATGAGCAAAATAATTTCTTACCTTTTTTGTTGATATCCCAAACAACCACGCTAGCGCCGAGTTTGGCAAGTTTCACCGCGATCAATCTACCGATTCCGCTTGCACCACCTGTGACCAGCGCGACTTCACCTTTGATCGATTTTGATCGGTATCGGCGAGGAATAAATGTTAATATTACCGCTTCGGTTGTGTAAACTATCACAATACCGACAAACAACAGTAAATCGTAGATAATGTTCCACGCAATATGCACTGCTTCTTTCAGACTCATCATTTTGTGATCTACATAACAAATATATTGAGAAAGATATCAATTATAATTTTGGTTTTTAAGTGTATATATAAAAGAGATAGTTACGTTATGAACTAGGACAATCTACATAAATAAATAAAGAAGAAAAATAAAAAAAAGAATTGAAGTCACTTTTTCAATCACTTTTTAGCAGAATGTAGAAATGTTCGAACTCAATTTACGCTCCAATTCTGCCGGATATCGTAATTTACTAGAAACATGTAATTTAGTCTTCATGATAGAATAAGATAATTGACCAGTACACATGCCATACTACATGCGGCTCTTTTGCTGCAGCTTATTTAAAAAGATAAATTTTACACTATTTTATAGCACTTTTTTTTATAGCATCTTTAATCAATGTTACGTTTTCACCAACATAAACTTTCCGTCAATTAATACTTTGATCGGTATTTAACGCAACACCGAGTTTGACCAACGTTATAGACCTGTTCTTCTTTTTAGCTGAATTTTTTGTACCGTTCATCTTGTTTCTTTTTTCTTTTATTTTTGAAGATAGCAAGAAATTGAAAAGAACAGACCTTATGTTTTTTTTGTCAAAATCTTACAATTAATCAATATCGCTTTCATACTGTGATAGTTGTAGTTTTGTTGTATATTTACCCCAATAAACTATAATAAGCGTACAAGAAACTTGTTCCACTAATACTGCAAAAATAGTGCGTTCAAGTCGTGATAAGACAAAACTTTATATCAATGTTTTATATGTACAAAGTCGCGAGAATAGAGATGATCTAAGTAACCTGTACTAGATAACCTAAATACATGAAAAAAAGTAGAAGAAGCGGAAATAGTTGTGAATGTACAGCACGCGCGCACACACACACACACACACGCACACACACACACACACGAGTAACATGTTATTTGCAAACACGGTTTTGTATACAAATACGTTACAACTTATTACATTAAAATGTTACAACTTAAATTTTCTAATGTTTTTGTATTAATAAAATATATGTAAGTATTAACAACTTCCCATACAGCACAGAAACTTGCAGTTCTATTGCAGGAATATTAGAATATCGCAGATTGCGTGATAATATGTTTGTGATGTTATTATAGGTATTGGTAACGTATAATACATATTTCGGCGTAAGATAATGGCAAGATTGTAAAACTCTTGCAGAAACATTGCAAAACACTCTCAAAAACTTATTTTATGGTTCGCTATTATGTTATTTTTGATTACAGTGTACGATTTACATATACATATACCTTGTAACCGCCGACGTAGGCAACGCAGATCAGACACGGTGTAACACGCTGACGTATCACGTTGAACTCAACATGTTAAATAATGTAAATAAGGTGATAAGATGATTTTGAGATATTATACCGAAAGTTTATGTGTTGGCCAATAGGACGACAAAAGCAAAATTCAAGTATGGCACTCAACGTGTAAAATTTCTTTAAAATTTTCATTTTGTCAAAATCTTTTTGATTATGGAAAATTATTGCAAAATAGTCTCACGTATAACGTACATAACTACTTCGCGCTGTGCTTACGTGAGTGATACGTGCGTGATATATTATACATACAATATGCGATATAAAAACTGCAATATACATATGCTCAATGATCTTTCAAGTTGCACCGCAACATGAAAATATTCAGAGAATAAAAGAATCGTTATTTAAATAATCACTATTTTTATCGTAGTATATAACGCAAGTTCCTTACATAAAAGATAAAAATAAATTTTGGAAAAAACTTATTTCAAAAAATTGTATTACTATGCGATTACATAAAGATAATTTTACGATAAAACTTTGTACACATGTATAGAACACTACATCATTGTAGAAATTTTCAGTAGCGGCCAAAAACCGATTCTAAAGAGTGAAACACTCCTCATGTGTAAAGTGGCTTTGCGCTTTTCTCGATGTATTTCGAAAACTATTAGAGATATTAAAAAATGTTTTATACAAAAGTCTTATGGTATGAACGCTTCTATTTATCTATATTAATAGGATTCTTTAAAAAATTCGTTTTTATTAAAGTTTTTAAACAATTTTTTCAAAAATTTATTTTTTTTGTAATTCTATTAATATGGCTAAATAGAGAATAGTTTTCTATAAAAGTCTTGTATAAGACGGTTTTTAATATCTCTAATAATTTTTGAGATAAACTGAGAAAAGTGAAAAGCCGCTTTACATATAGAAGGTGATTTCATCCCTTAAAACCGTTTTTGGGCAGCAACTGAATATGTCAATATTCATCTATTGACTTCCCTTAAATGTGTGCAAAGTTTTATCAAAATCAGCATTTTCAGGTTTGCAAGATTTTCTCTCTAAGTAAAATTATTCTTTAATTATGTTTAATTACATTGAGATTATATTGTATTTTTTTATTTTTGTATTTTAATTCGCCAGTTTATTTCCTGTTGTAAAAGACTGCCTTGCTTACAACAGTTTTACAAATTGCTTTATATGACACTATTGATTTGTGGCATATCATTTGATTCGTCTGTGAACTACTTCTACATTGCAAAATAGTTTTGTATATTATTGACACTTGTATTTTAATTTTAATTTGTTTCCTTTAACAGATTGCCTTATAACAGACTGCCTATTTGTAGAGTATTAAAATGTTTTTATCGATGAAAATGTAACGTCGATTATAAAAATAATGTCTATGAATGTCATATAACTGTGTAAAAATAAACAAATATTTCTTTGTTCAAACTCACGTGAAATCAATACAGCACACTCGTAAAATACACTTGATTTTCTTTTGATTCAACATGAAATTATATATAATAGAAGTTTGTGCCATATAATTTTCCGGTGAAAATACTTATGGAAATTTTGTATAATAAAAATGTAGCTTCAGAAATTATGATTCGTCATATAATACATATTACTTCGGTTGGTGAAAGCTAACCAGCACAAAATGGAAAGTTCTACTTCTTTACACTTCTTTGTGATCTATGAAAGCAATAAGCGGCATTTTATCCACAAAATAACTGATAATACAATATTATGCTGTATAATTTTTATATTATAATAAATTGTCTTCTTTTTTTAACTTATGTTTTAGTTTATGTTCTACTTTGCTTTCATCTTCCCGTTTTTAAGTATGACAGATTAATATATCTATATTTAATATATATTTAATACATATTCAAAATACATTTATAACAAATATCTCTTTATAAACTTATTGCAAGTAAAATTTTTATGCGCATTTTTTTAAACAATAACAATAATAATTAAACAATGAAGCAGTAAAATTATCACACGCGCACATGTTCTTTATATTTACATATATTATTATTCAAACTTTGTATTTTTCCTTCTACATCTATTATTTTTAAATATAATATAAAGTTGTGACTCTTACTTTTTTGTTCGTCGGCAAAACAATCCGAAATTTTACACAAATTACGTTGATTCGTCGATTTGTCGAAACATACACTGTGGAAGTTCGGCAGTTTACCGGAAGCCGAGACGCTCGGGATCATGAAATCTTCTGTCGTCGCGACGCGCGCAAGGTGATCGACGAATGTTGACTGCGTACAATCTACGACTTCAGTGCGCCCGAAACAGTGCTACCGCGCTATGAAAGTTTCGCATCATAAATAAGTATTTTGTGCAGAGCACACGCCGGGACGCATTATAATAAAGCACCGCTTTTATCTACAAAGATATTTTATGTACGTACGATATGCATATGAGTAAATCTTGCTGATACAGAAAAGAATGTTTTGTTATCGTTATAATAACTTTTTCAGTTTATTATGCAAATAACAAAGTGAGACTTGTTAAGAACACTAAGTTTTTAGTCTTATCAACAAAACAAGATTCGGCAAGATCATTAGATAAAATCTCAGTAGTAAAAACAAATTCTTTTATCGCAATTGAGCAAAAAATCAAAAGAGAAATGAATGTAATAGTTGTTATTAGGTATGCGTGTATATAAGAAAAGATAAATAAGATATAAAGCAAGACTTAGTTTTTTGTTTTGTAAAACTCTTTTACTTCAAAGAGTTATATATATATATATACAGGGTCCCAGAATTGGTGTAACATCTCTCGTTACGCGCGTAAGCCCGATGTACGCTTATTCGCGGATCTTTGTTAATTAAAATTTCGATAACTATTGCGAATCTAGCAAAATGTTATAATAGGACTTATCGGATCACAAAGGGAGGTCGCGACGTTGTACCAATCGATTTGGACGAAATTTATAGGATCGATAGATGACTATGTGGAGTATTGCAGGGTAAAATAATAAGACGCACTACTCAAGCATTCGCGAGAAAATCGAATTTGAAAATTTTGAGTTATTGGAGTACAAATTAGTTCGATCCGTTTTTTTGTGTTCAAAAATGCATTTATTTCAAAACAAAATAAATGAACAGATTAATTAAAGTATTGTACATCGCTGGCTACTACTTTTTCCCATCTTTCAGGCAATTTTCGAATTCCATCTCGAAAAAATGACTCGTCTTTGGAGGCGATCCAAATTTGGAGCCAATTTTCGATTTCTGCGAAAGAAGTGAACCGGTGACCTGCCAAATCGTGCTGCATCCTTCGGAACAATCAGTAATCAGAAGGAGCAATATCCGGAGAATACGGCGGGTGCGATGAAACATCCCATTTGAGCGTTTCCAAATATTTTTTTACGACTTTTGCGACACGAGGCCGAGCGTTGTCATGAAGAAGAATAACTTTATCATGTCTTTGCTCGTATTCCGGCCGTTTTTCTCGCAATGCACAGCTCAAACGAAGCAATTGTAGCCGATACAGATCGCCTGTAATGGAATCGCCAGGTTTCAGCAGCTCATAGTAAACAACACCCTTTTGGTCCCACCAGATACAGAGCATGATCTTCGAACCATGAATGTTCTGCTTTGGTGTTGATGGTGAGGTCGATGGCACCGATTGACCGGACTTAGCGTAGTATTTTTTCTTCTTGAGGTTGTCGTAGAATATCCACTTCTCATTTTTTGAGCAAGTTCTGCTTGATTGATACAATAATATTTGCATGATACATTTATATTCTCTTTTTTTCTATTTTTCTGTTAACACTAGTTGCAATAACAGATTGTATATTGGACATTTTACTAGTACACTCCTTACTCCTAAAAAACGTTCAACTTGACTGTAAACTTTCAATATTCAGCGTTATACGTTCTCTTTATCATGAGATTATTATCAAGTTGCATGAATTTTTTCTAGCAATTTCATCTAACGACAAACTTAATAACGACTTTGCGCAAAGCTAATTCGTCACGTACATTGCAGCGAACATTGTACACAGTATATTTTTCTTTAGAAAAGCCGTGTGAATGGGCAAATCTACGACGTAGAAACTGCAACATTTCTCAATAACCCAACTCAATTCCAAATGATAACTAGTATCTCATATTTTTTTTCATACATATAATTTACATTGCATATGTATTTTATACTTGTTGAAAGCAATACCTAGCAAATACATCTCAATGTAACATATATATCTTATATGATTCTACATAATATATGAAATATACTGGTTATATAATAAAGAGTATTAGTGACATACTTGCGTTTACTGGATATTCATTACGCGATCCCTTGAAAGAAGAATATACATTACATTAGTAGAGTTACTCAAAGTTGAAAATGTGTAAACAAATATAACGTGTGATCTTGTTACTAAAAAAAAGAAAAATCTTGAATTAAATTCTTATAGATCGTTTTTCTGTAGTTGTAGTTTGTATGTAAACAAAATTTCAAAATTTCTTTATTTAATAATTAATAAATATATTATTTAATCAATTAATTATCTAATCAATTATCTAATTATTTGTATAATTAATTTTTATTAAATTTGTAATTAATTTTTTAATATTCTAAGTTTGTAAGGAAATGAGCATTTAAATACGTACATTTTTTGTTTTCAGATGTCAGTTTTGTCTTGATATTTGTACGGATGTGCATTTTTCATCATCAAAACTTTGATAGCGCATTTCACGATTTCTTCTCTGACATCAAGAGAAATGTAGGTGCATTAAAGGTGGAAGCACTTTTCCCCCCGCATGCGAATCTAGTGAAAGGATAACGTTCTGCCAAACTGGGACGCTTGCAACTGACTTTGTGCAGAAGAAAGAAATATATACAATGACGTTTTCTATAGTATTATGTGTCGTGAAATTATACATGTATATTATACACGACGATCTGTTGGTGCGCTTGGCGTATATAATACGAAATGCAAGTTAAGAAAAAGAAAAAGAAAGAAGAGCGAGAATTTTCGTCCGTGCAATTGCCGATTTCTATCATGTACTTGTTAACCATTTAAAACACTATGACTTATACGCGTGCCCGTATGAGCAAATAAAAAAGTGCAGAGAACATTGCAAAGAACATACATCAACATAGTTGACTCGCGTTGACGCGCTGAAAAAAATTGCACAGGAGGTCGTTGAATTTTTCACGCGTCTCTTTTTTCAAAACTGTCTAGTACATTCAAAAAACAAAAAAATCGCAGCTTTGATCTTTGTCAGATATTGTAGCAAAAAAATTAATGATCATTTAAGCGGATAACTTGTGTTTTGATTGAATTTACGTGGTGAAAAAAATTTTTTTAACAACTGAAGACAAGTTATATTTACGGCATGTTACGCTTTATGAGGTTTGGAAAGATGGAAGTTGGAACTGCCGTAAAAAAAAATTAAAAATGTCTATCATAATTATGCACCAGCAGTTCAAACTGTTAAAAAAAGGTTTACGAAATTTAGATGTGTGATTTCCACTTTCACAACTACCCAGGGATACGTTCCAAAATCTTACTTTGGTAACCGAAAACTATAGTACACGTGACGCAAAATATAGCATTTTAGTAACCAAGATAGGATTTTGAAACGTACCCCAGCTAGCAAGCTTACGTGTTATGGCTGCGTTCCGAGTTACGCATATGCGCGCATTTATCTATATTATACGTGACGTGTACTATAGATAAATGCGCGCATGTGCGTAACTCGGAACGCAGCCTATGAAGTGATTTTGATGACTACGACTTTAAGAGAATGCTGAACCCTGAACCTTATAGCGATTTCGGCTGGNTTGCACCGACTGCACATTTCGGGTGTCGGTGCAAATTGTGTGTTCGGCTGGGCGAATGGCAGCAGTTCTTTGCTGGTTCCGCGTATTCGTCTGAGCTCAGTACACCGCATAGGTGCATGTTGGGTGTACACAAAGTGGCTCTCACAAATTAGTCGGAGCCAGTTAGTGTAA